GTCTATTCATATATGTATGTAGGAAAGTTTTGCCAGATTCATCCCACTATCTTTCCTTTTCCCATTCCCCCTGCCTACTCCCCACCCCCTTTATTGTGTATGGGTTAGCATGCACATATCAAAGAAAAATAAAATCAACCTTTGGTTTTGGGGGGGATTGGCTTTATTTAGCATGATAGTTTCCAGATTGGATCCAGATTTCTTGACAATGAAAGAAAATTCCCAATTCTAAATGTTTTCACCATCACCTGAGACCACGTGAACAACAAATAACAGACTCGGAGGGATCACATCTTTAAACAAAAATTTTCCAGTAAGGGTTCACAGGTGATGGCCAATAGTGTTTGTTTAAAAAGCCTAGAGCACACGAAAGCCATGTTGATGAGACTAATCCAGTTTGTTAGGCTAATACTGTGTGCTTCAAAGACCTCATCGCTTTATATTTTTCTCTACATGCTTTTGCAGATCTACTTATAAATTGTCTTTTGGCATTAAGCATTTAGAATGCAAAAAAAAAAAAAGTCCAAAAGGTCACTGTGATACTCAGAGTTTTCTAGAGGAACAGAATCAACAGGAAGTATAATTATAAAAGGGGGATTTATTAGGATGGCTTATGCAACCAGAAGCTGGACAGTCCACTATGGCCGTGTGAAGGCTGGAGAGCCGAAAGAACCAGTAGCTGCCCAGTCCAAGAGGCTGAAGCCCCAGAACAAAAAGGATCAATGTTCTACCCTAGTCCAAGACGGAAGGCTTCTGGAAATACCCTAGAGAATCACTGACACAGTCCGCTTTGGAAGAGTAAAGAAGCGAGAGTTGATATCCTCAGTGGATCCCAGCAGCAATCAAGAACCCATTTAAGAAGAATGGAGCTTTCATCTGCTGCTGTTTCCTTGTTCTTTCAACTCTCCCACTGTCTCATGTCCCCCACTGGGGTCTAAAGACAAAGGCTATCTTCCCAACAAAATAGCCTTCCAACTTTAAGCTTCTGTGAGTTCACATTCTGCAACACATGAATAGAATCATTTATATAGCCCAGACCCCTTAATGATCTACCTGTTAACAGACCCTATTTGAAGAATGAAAGGATCCCAGGTGGTGGGTCTTAAAGAAGAATCCACACTATCTAATTAAAACTTCCGTGTGAAGGCCTTTTAGTGAGACAAGACTTGACAATGAGAACCTCAGATAGGTGAATTAGCTGGGGTCTATTGAGGAAAGAGGAGCCCAAGACTCTAGGGACTGTGAAGTTCTGTTTTACAGGGAACATTCTTAACCGAAGCTACACCTTCAAAAACAATACGTATGATCAACAAAAACCTCTCACAGATCTTCATGAATTATTTTTAAATTATTTTGTACAATTTTAAACAGTTACCATGTGACCCAATGATTCACTACTAGATTTATGTCCAAGAAAAAAAGAAAACATGTCCACACAAAACAAGTGCACAAATGTTCAGAGAAACATCATTCATAATAGTCAAAGGGTGAAAATGCATTGGATTAGACAAAGGGGAATGAAGGGAAGGAAGAGGGGTGGGATTAGGAAAGACACTAGAATGAATCAGACACGACTTTCCTATGTTCATAATACACGACCAGTGAAACTCCACATCATGTACAACCACAAGAATAGGAACCTAATTAGGATAAATTATACTCTGTGTATATATAATATGTCAAAGTACACTCTCATGTATATCTTAAAAGAACAAATGTTAAAAATTTTTTTAAATAAAATTTTGTGTATGTGTGCCAAAAAAAAAAATCAGATCATATTTCTTAACTATAATACCTAAATGTGGACATAGTTAAATGCTCAGTTCAAAGACTCCCTCCTTATCCAAAGGAATCTCTCAGGAAAGTTGCAGTTGGGTAGAGTTTGTAAAGTCCTTCTTCCTCATAAATGGACTAGTGGTAGGCATTCTGTATATGAATTAAGTAACAGTTGAAATTGGCCCTGAACAGAGTAAGAATAGGTATAAGTTTAAATGTTCTATGTGTGTTTAACGATTATTTTTTAAACACAAAGAATCCTGCTTATGCTAGTTGTGGAAGATTTTCAAATTAAAGAGTATAAATGTGGTTAGTCTTACTTCTTCCCAAAGACAATTACTATTTCATATCAGCTTTAACAATCTCTATATTTAAGAGTTTTAATCATTTAATTAAATAACAACAACAACAAAAAAAGAATGTAAGTTTCTATTATATGTTCACTGTATAGATAAGAGGTCTAAAGAAAGATTTAGTGATTTACCCAAACTCATAGTTACTGTTATGGTTTAGATATGAAGTGTTCCCCAAAAGCTCATGTGTGAGACAATGTAAAAAAATTCAGAGGTGAAATGATTGGGATATGAGAGTCTTAATCTAATTATTAGTATCCTGATAGGGATTAACTGGCTGGTAACTGTAGGCAGGTAGGGTTTGGCTAGAGAAGGTAGGTCACTAGTCTTGTCCCTGGAGAGTGAAGCTGTCTCTGCTTCCTGGTGCCATGTCCTGATCTGCTTTCCTCTATATGCTTCTGCCTCTCCTCTGGCCCGAAAAACAACGGAGCCAGCTGTCTACGAAACGAAACCTCTGAAACTGAGTGCCAAATAAACTTTTCTTCCTCCCAAATTGTTCTTATCAGATCTTTTGGTTAACATAGCAAAAAAGTTAACACATGCTAAGCATAGGAATAGGTATGTATATAGATATGTAGTTTGTGATATAATAAATGTTATATTTTATATTGAACGTTGCCACATAAGCATTTTTCCAATTAATATTTTTGGAAAACAGGATTTAATGAAGCATGCAAAAATATCATTATCGTGTGGAATATCTTTTGGTTCACTGTTATCATAATACTGTACCATAGTACATACTATAGTACAGATACATATAAATTAAAAAAAAAAAAAAGGTAGAAACAACCCAAATGCCCCTCAAATGATGACTGGGTAAAGAAGTGGAATATCCATTAGTGAGAGGTTATTTGGCCAGAAAAAGAAGAAATATGAGAACATGCTACGAAGTGGATAAATACATTATGCTCAGTGAAGAAGTCAGTCACAAAAGATCACATATTATATGATCCTGTTTAAATGAAATGTCCAGAATAGGCAAATGTATGAAACAAGCTCACTATCTCCACCTTGTGGCCATAGCTAGTACCTTGGGGGGGGGTCACAGCCCCCATCTCAAGGCTCCTTGGAGCTGTTTAGAATATTGACCACCATCATCCTGAAGACTGTGATCAAAGTTTCCACAATATCAAATGTTATGAGACTTTCACTTGGCCACCAGGTGAGCCACAAATAACAATATTTACTATGTACCAATAACAAGTACTTGGTATGTCAGGGACTAGAGCTTTGCTTGGACAGAACAGGAGCTATTTATTTAGGCAGAGGAGATCTTCTAAACTCATATGACTCATTTAAATTTGAAAGCTTAATGGTAAGAATAGATACTAAATTATTCTGGATATAAATATACAATAGCCAACCTATGAAAACTCAATACCCCCACTTTTTTGATGGTGGTAGTGATACTAAGGATTAAACCCAGAGTCCTCTGCATGCCAGGCAAGATATATCCCAGTCCTTCTTATTTATTTTTATTTTGAGATAGTATCTCACTAAGTTGCTCAGGTTGGCCTCAAGCTACTGATCCTCCAGCCTCAGCCTCCTGTGTAGCTGGGATAGCAGGTGTGTGCCATTATGCCCAGGTCCCTCTTTTCTTTTTACATGAAAGGGATGAAGAAATTTTTACAGCCTCCTGCACAGTCCTCAAAAACCCAGTAACATTTCCTCTTTGATACAGGCAGACACAAGAATAACACAGAAAACAAGTCAATACTAGTTTAAAATAAACCCCAATGTGCCTTCAAACCTCCCATTCCTGTCAAGGTTTCACTCTCAGATAGAATGTAAAACTAGAACAGTCCCAAGAGGGCCTGATGAACCAGTCTGCACAAGCTCAGATACAAAGTCAAGATCTGGAACTTGGGACAAATCAAACAATTCTTTATGCACAAGGCTTAGCCAAATTGTCATAGCAGCAATCAGGATCTACAATATAGAAAGCTGGAACATCTCAATCAATTCACTGAATTTTACAAGACAAAATTCAAGGTAACTGTACACAACAGACAGCCTCTTAAAACATATCTAGGGAAAATGTAATTTCAGGACACTAGATTAGGAAAAGTCACTGGAGGACAGGAGGCCAGCGATATCAGGGACTTTATTTAGTCCAACAACCAACTCGACGGGAGTGATGATGTCTGCCCACAACTCTGTGTGATACAGGAGTACAAGGACTAGTCGGGACTACAATCTGCCAAGCGTATGAGACAAAATGATCGTGCTCCATTGATTTCCCCCTTTTGCATCTTCCAGTTTCCCATTTGATGTTAGTCCACCCTGCTGTGTTTGCAAATGGAGAACCTGAGCTCAGAGAAGTTTGTGAAGTTAACTCAAGATCATGCCACTCCATGGCTGGCCCAGGATGAATTACCAAGTCTAAGACTTTACACATCAGTACCAACAAAATTAGCTGGGAGAAGACAGACAGCATCATTTAAGGTTGCTAATCATTCAAAGAAGAAAAATAAATGCTGATGGTTTATTCTGAATAATGCTTGAAAGAAATGTTTAGGTCCACAGTAGTAACACGTTCTTACAGACTTCCACAGAAACAATCCTGTGGTTATAATCACTCTTCCCCTTTTGCTTTGCAAAAAGGAACCTGACATTTCCTGCTATAAATCAGAGTATCACCACATATCTCCTGAAACTGAACTAACTGTGGTTGAGTGAGGGGTGAGGGGATATGTGAAGAGAATGAGCAGAGACTATGCTTCCTTCAGAAACAAAAGTTTCTTTCCACTGTAGAAAGAACAAGCTGAAATAATATTTTTTCATTCATACTCTGCAGGGCATCTTAAAGCTGAAAAGAATCAGCTAATCATGAGAAAGCAGTGTCCAGGGACAGCTACACATGCTTACCTGCTCTAATGTAAGCTGCTTAGAAATGGTATCATTCTCCAGCTTTTTAATTTTCTTCATCAGTTTGTTGACCTGAAATTCCTGCTCCTGTTCCAGATGCTGTTCCAGTTCAGCTTTCTCATGCTGCAACTGTAAAGTAAAAAGAACACAGACATGGGAATCAAGAAACTCAAAAGTCAAGCAAACACTGGTTCCAAAAGTTGATCACACTAAAAGTCTTCATTATACCATCACCTTAAAAAAAAAAAAAATCGAATTTCAAAAACAGAAATTCCACAATGTCAGTTTTTATTAAATGAAATGCATTTTACTCAGATTTGCATCATGTCTGTAGAGAGAAAAGAGATATCACAATCACAAAATATACTGCATAAATTATTCAGAATTTTTGTACTATTTCCATGTACAAGTGAGCACAGTTGGGCAAAAATCAGCACTATTAATTTTCTTTGCCTAATGAAATCATACATCACACCTCCCACAACCTTTCTAAAACCACAGGGGGGAAAACCTCTTATTTATGCAATTAAAAGATAAGGCCATGGTGTGATTAGAATACTTTTTATAAAATTTTCCAAATTTCAAAACCAAAAGGAAATAAAAGACAGGACTGCCTGGGGTTCTCATTAATAACAACACATTATTTCTAACATTCTTTTTTTTTTTTGGTAACGGGGATTTTAATCAGGGGCACTTGACCACTGAGCATCATCCACAGCCCTATTTTATATTTTATTTAGACACAGGATCTCACTGAGATGCTTAGCACCTCGATTTTGCTGAGGCTGACTCCGAACTCATAATTCTCCTGCCTCAGCCTCCCAAACTGCTGGGATTACAGGTACACACTGCCATGCCAGCTTTCTAACACTCCTGACTGTGCGTTTTGTTGATGCATAGCCAGAGTTGGCCCTATGTTCCAGAACCAAGGAGAGAATTAAGTTTAAAAAACAACAACAACAAAAAAAAACAATGAAGTACAAATCTATTTCTTTGGGCAGACAAAGATACTAGACATCAGTTTCTTTAATGCATTAAGACAGGCATGACCACCTCCATTTTATATGAGACAAAATAGGTCACTGGACTAGGGCAATATAGCTGCCAAGTGGCAGAGCCTGGAACACACATCCAGCTCTGAATTCTAAGCCAGTGCTCACCCACTGTATCACTGGGCCCAAGAGGTTGTCATCAGACTGCCACCCATCAGTGCCTGGTGCCTGCTTGCCCAGGGGAAGCTGTATCTCTGTGTACAGCTTGTTGACCTGTATACAGCTTGTTTTCCACAGGGTACAAGGACAACGGAGAAAGCTCCTCTGGGCCTGATCAACCTCAAAATGGCCACATCTAACTTTCTCCACTTTTGACACGTTTCCACTGCTCTGAAAGCACATATTCAGTTGGGGAGGCGGATGCGCGGGGTGGGGGGAGTTGGAAAAAGAGAACTCTTAAAATTTCTAGTCTTCTAACAATGTTGACTAAACAGATGCTGTTTTTTTCTCTCCAACTGTTTTTGACATGCAACTCAAAAAAAAAGTGTCAACTTTTTGCAGGGACCCTGGGGTAAAGAGGAACACAGATGTGAGGTACTTCTAACGACAAGTCTATTTTTACCTAGTTTGCTAAAACTCAGGTTCTGCAAGGCTGAGCAGTCATTACAAGACCTAAGAAGAATGAAACAAGAAGAACAAGAGGAGTCCCACATAGAAGACACAAAGACCCCAGTGGAATAAATAAGGATTATAAGGGGGAAAAAAATCTTCATCAAAGACTTTTATTCAACAGACATTTGCTGTATGTCTTGTTTAGCAGGTACTATAGAGTGGGAGATAAAATCCATAGTTAAGATATTATCCATGCCCAAAAAGAGTTCATGCATACCAAGCTTAAATGATATGTACTTGTTTTAAAGAAATGATGAACTTGAATCTTAAGACCATTGGCAAAAAGGTGTTTTTAAATATAGTAGCTGTGTTTCTTCCATCCAAAGTTTTCAATTGCTTCCATTTCATTTGCAAGAAGCTCCTCCTTTTCTTCTTTTTAAAGAATTATGCTTCTGCCTCAACAATCAAGGATGTAATCTAACACTGGAAAATCTTTTGCCCACCAAACAGCGCTTGTCACAGGACATTAATGGGAGGACAGTTAAGGCTCTCATTGGCCCCAGGAAAATATTCATTTACACAGATGCTCAAACCCTATCAATATCTAGTTATGTATTTCCTTTAGGGCTCAAGACTGGACAAAGGCCATAAAAGCTCTCAGTTTTAGGAGGTTCATTCTCTCAAGAGCTATCCCCAAAGGCAAACTGGATAGCAAAGCTGTCATTACCAGGACTCAAGAAAGGTCCCCAGGTTACACTAATCCATCTGGAGACTATCAAGCCAACCTGAGGCCTAACTGTTTGCTTAAGATTCAGTTTTCATCTTCCCCAAAGGAGAGCTGAAAGGAACAGCTCTGCTGTCTGCTTTGGTCCCCATCTCCCGGGTGACAACCAGTCTAGAAGCAGGGAATGGAGCTTCTGAACAGAGAATGCAAGGAAAAGAAAATACAGTTCTTCCTTGCAACAACGAAATCATCAATAAAAGAAAAAAACAAGGAGAAATATAGAAATACTTTCAAACCCCCAAAATTATAAGACAAAAAAAGGGGAGGGGCAGACATGGGAGCAGTGACTCTGAGGAACTAATAACCACTGTGTTAGCCTCATATAATTTGTGTGAGAAAAATTTGGGAATTTCTGTTTCAAACAGATACACACTGCGCATCCTTAATGCAAAGATCCAGAATGTTCCAAAATCTGAAACTATTTGAGTGCTAACATAATGCCAAGTGGAAAGTGTCACAGCTGACCTCATGTGATGGGTCATAGTAAAAACACAGGTACACGGACTTCAGGTTATGTGGGTGTCAGGTATATATGAAAACTGCCATGGATTTCATGTTTAGATATGGGTCCCATCTCCAAGATATCTCACTAGGTATACACAAATATTCCAAAATCAGAAAAAATCTAGAACTCAAAATATTGCTGGTCCCAAACATTTCAGAAAAGAACCTGCCCCATGTGGCCCCAGGAGGACTTCATCCAACACTCTGAATCCACCTGCCTATTCTAAAGCTGGCTATACCTCCCGACATATAAACACAAAACCCTCCAGGGAAATCTGGTGCAGGGAAACCCAAGACTAGCTATCAGAAACAGACTCCCATTTTCTCTATTGCTCATCTTCAATATGGGCAAATAATTAAAGGGTTGGTTTTAAATTTCTAATCAAAGGTCCTAACCTACTACTATATGAGCAATTTTAAATCTTCTAATAAAGTCAGATTTTCTGAACCACATCAAAAACAATCCAAGTAAGAAGTAATCAAACAAATTATGTTGATATATTTGAAATAAAACTCATTTATCTGATTTATATATTTCTAAAGCTAAATGTTCAGGCAGAATAAAAGGTTTTTTCAAAATCAGAACTTTTTATAAATACATTTTTTATATAGTCATTCTCAAAAAGTATGGAATAATTTTATGGTCCTTGGCAATGCAATATGCTGTTAACATGAACAAAAAAATAAAACCCCTGTGGAACTGGAATCGTGGTATAACAGATTTTCTCCTGGCGGGTAAAATTTTCAATGGAAACAGGACTTTAGAAATAAATAAAGGTTTGTTCCTTGGGGTTCAGTGTGAAAAAATATTCACCTAACTAAGGAAGTCATAAGTAAAGATACAACTATATATCAGGACTCTTTTAAAATTTTAAAGACTAAAACTTGAGCATTTTCTTATTTTATCCACTGACGACAGAGAAGAGTCCCAAAGCAAACATCCATACCCTTAAAAAAATTCAAGTGTGGCATTAACTTGATCTCAAGCAGATTTTCTGGAACCACTTCAATGAACCAGGCATCTTATATAAGAGATTCAAGAACTGTGTACCAAATAACTATATTTTCAGCAAAATTCTCTCCAGCAGGTAGAAATACTAAAATCACTCACCTAGGAGAAACGCCTTCCAGTCTCCACAGGAGCACACACAGGTTGGCTGTTAAGCTGGTCTTCCCATCCAACACGCAGTGGAAGTCAGCCAAGGCCCCAGCTGGGCAAAGTGAAAGTCTGGTGGTCTGGGCTTGTCATCAATCCTGCCCTTACTAAGCAAGGCAAGCCTCAGGCTGTCACTCTCACAACTGAGTTTCTCAAAGCAACTTGAGTATAAACTCAAGATGCCCCTACCTCTGTTTTAACTAGCTGACACTCATACTTCAGTGTAATACTTTCTGTCTCACGACCAACATTCTTGGTTTCCTGACAAATACTAAACACTAGAACCACCTGAAGAGGATCAAGTAAAAGCTTCCATAGGATGAGAACTGCATTGAGTCATTGGATTGTCAAAAAACTATTAAGTTATTAGCAAAAGCTTGGAAAAAAATGTTCAAAAATACCTCTCAGAACATCAAGCATCTCTTAAGAACCAACTTTTCATCTGTTCTAGCAAGCAGCCCGAGAAGAAACTGACTCCCACCACAAATTTGGTGAATCACCGCTAAGTGTCTCTTGAGCCCACTTCCATTCCCACCTCCTCCAAGCTGCTACTGGTGCCGTCATTCTTGCTCAACACCTCACGTCTCTTCAGTTATCAAATCACACTGTCAGCCTCCATAACAACCGTGGAACACACTCCTCTTCTTTCTCTGCTGATGAGCCAGTCTAGTTCAAGCCTTTTATTCCTCTGCATGAGGCTACACCAAAACCTCCTACCGAATCTCCCAAGATCCACTTAGATCATCCCAGCAGACAAGTCCTAGCACTTCAATGCCCTGCCCCAAGCCCTTCAGTGCTCCCGACTAGTACAGATTAAGTCCAAGATCATTCAAGTCTTTCCACAAACCCTGTTGTCAGGCTCAGTCCAAGTGACAGTCCAAGGTTGGCAAACATAAATGCCTTCAGCGTTCGGGCATCAAGCCAACAAGGAATGTGTGGATGTAAGCAAGGGAATGGTTACAACAGCAGTTAAAGGCAAAGTCTGCTTCTTTTTCCAAAGACTTTTTTCTTAAAAGAATATAATAAAACTCAGCACAGTGGCCAAATCCTTATGAAGAGACCATGCTGGTCCAGGGGTCTG